AACACCAATTAACTATGACCAATAACCGTGAGGTTTGGTTTGGTTCCTGGATTAGCCCGGGAATTGCCTTGAAGCATCTAATAGGAGCACCGCACTACTTGTGGGTGATGCTGTGTCCTAATTGGACGCTCGCCAGGACACAGAGAAATTTTGGTTTAAAAACCCATGTCAGGAGCTGCAAAATCAGCTCTCCAGCCAACAAGAAACTATTCTCTAGTTTCCAGGCAGTTCAGGACGAAACCATACAGTTGAGATCCTCTAATGTAGCTACTGCTTCAAAGTTTCTAACTCTCCAGTAAGTATCTCTGTCTCTTGATCAGTCCTTGCAAGAAGTATTAAAGTTTCACTATTACTGTTTAAAGATTTGTATGTTGAATTCTCATAACAAGAGATTGTTGTTAAAAGTTAATAAAGATTACTTTGAGTATTTACTGTTGGTCTGAGACTCATATTCTGTAGTCTAACTGTAAACTCCTCGAGTTAGCGACTTGTGGCTCCACTCGTCACGACAAAATCCTCCAACAAATAAATTTGGTGTAAAGGTTGGTTTTAATTGAAGCTCCAACAATTAAGCTCACCTGAGCGCTAACCTGTTACAATAGTATAACACAATTTGAGTCGATGTGTCACTTGAAAGTCAGTAATATATTCAAAACCAAGATTCTGTGTACTGGTATTCAAGAGTTCTCATCAGATTGAATCAGCAAGCATTATTATAATGTTGATATTTTGTGTCATTTTATGAGTATAATTAACTAATAAGATTACAGTGATCTGACTACTATTAGCAAATACATGCAAAAAATCATGCTTTAAAACACTTCTGATAGAAATACAACAGGAGGAGGGAGTCAGGAGAATGAAAGTAATTTGAATTCTGATCTTTAACATACTAATCATTTGAATAAGATGAAACTAGGCAATATCTAAAAGATGAAACTCAAACCATATCATCAAAAATGGATTAACAAAGTACATTGATATATATATATATATATTAAGCAATAATGGAAAGAACAATGTATTAAACAACAGCACGCAGATAATGCAAAAGAACAGAACACAGCAAGATCAAAAAAGCAGTATGATTAAAACTCAAGTGAGAAAGAAGGAAGATGACAGAGAACTGACCTGGACTAAGTATCCAGGGATTGGCATGGGTGAAATATCACAACAACACACAAGATGAGTCAGAGCATAAAGTTTTTTCTTCCACTGCCCTGCTTGCTTCCTGCTTCTGCTTCCATGACCCTGACAAAGTTATATTTATACTATTCTAGTTCATCCTTATCTTATGAAAACAAACCTTTAATGTCATACATTAATAACTAACTTGATTTATGGAAGAGAGCACAGCTGTCTAAAGCCTTAATAAGTCTCTGTTTATAAGACACTGAATTCAAGTCAGAGAATTATAATGTTCAAAATTTGTACTTGGAGATTTGTACAAAGGGCTAGCAAAAGCTTGTTAAAAGGTAAGAGCTAACACTAAAAGAAACTGACACTCAAGTAAAAGTTTTGCATTATATTTAATGAAAATATAATTGTGGTAAGGTATTAAAACACTGACTATTCCATAAGCTCATCAATGCAATGAAACAGGAAGAAATCATTATCATTTGAGTGTAACCAATGCTACTGTAAAAAATTTCTTTATCTCCCATTCTTATCAAGTGCAAGTCACCTAATGGTTTTAGAAAGATTATGATGACTGACATAGTTTCAACTTTTAGTGTTACCAAGATTGAAAAGATTTGTTGCAAAAAACCATTGCTATGAACAGGTTTGGTCACAGTTCTTTAACAAATGTTCAGTAAGACTTAATGTTATATACTGGGATATTTGATGATTCAATTAGTGACTGAGTTTATATATCTGATGCAAGGTCCACAAAGATTTGAGGTTTTAAAAATACTCTTAAATATGAAAAACTATTTTGCTTGTCCATTTAAAAACATAAAATTTTGCCTTGTAGGCAGCTAGACATATCCAAAAAATACATGGAACATGTGAGTAAAATTAAGATTTTATATATTCCTCTGTAACTTTCTTGACTGATCTCTCTTTTCTGGTTGGACTCACCAGCCATATTTCTATAAAGAAGGCCAAAGACTGAATTATGCACCACAACTATATATACAGCCCTTCTAAGGACTTTCCTGAAAACAGCAACAAATTAGCATCCAAAATGTAGGTTAAAACAACTAGCAACTAAATAGTAATTAGAGACATAGGTGATTGTACATGCTACTAACTATGACTACAATTGATTTCATATTAATGTATAATAAACCAACTATGGACTCAGCTGGTCAAACAAAAACACTACATAATTTTCATTTATCTTTTTGTGTTTTTGTAAAGAAAGAACTTTTTTCAACTCTGAAATAATGAGACTTTCTTATTAAATTAAATTAGCAACAAGTTTAATAATTTCATGAAACTATATATATACATAAACTGGTTTTATCAAGCAGAAAACTATTAAATTCTATTTTCTGTACATAGAATATTATGGCATGCATATGAAAAAAAATCCAGACCTTCACAAAACATTTTGTGTGATATTAAGTAAAGCTGTAGCATTCTTTTGGAATAGAAGATGTTATTTTACCCTTGAATGCAATAGTAATAAATAATAGTAGTTTTATCTTCCATCAAGGTTACATTTGTTTGCATCAAGTAACATTCTAGCACAAAACTATAATTTACATCAGTCACTTCATGAGATACAACAATTAGTCCTGATAATTCTAAAATCAGATTGGCTGGTAATATTGGAACAATACTCATGAAAAAGTGTTTCTGTCATTCTACAACAACTGACAATAAATCAAGAAGTCTATACAACCACCGAGGTTTGAATTGAAACTCTGTTTGAACAAATGAATATGAACTACATGCAAGCATATACACACATGTCTCACACATGTATATGTAAAAAAACATACATAAACTTATAAAATAATCCAAAGAAACCCATCACAATAAAGTTGAGAATAACAAAACACATTAAGTTACCTTATTTGCTTCACTTAATAGAATGGTTCTGTCCAGGGTGATGCAAGATGTTAAAGATTTACTCATGGAGCTTTTGGAGCCACCTTGATATTAGGCATTCTTAATTATGAAATTCACCAGCCATTTCAGTGCTACATGATTTGTGTAGACCATAAATTTATGTCCACATAGATTATGATGGAAGTCGCTCAGAACTTGAACACCACTTACTAGCTTCTTTTGAGTTGTACAATACCTCCTTTCTATGACATTGCTATAGTAGGCAATAACATGTTCTTTTCCATGTTGTTCTTGAGACAAAACTGCTCACACTGTAAAATCACTAGAATTTGTATCTAAAATGAATGGATCTTCAAGAGTAGGTAATCCAATATCATTCAATATTAATCAATTCCTTCATCAGTTTGTGGAATGCTTATTTGCAATCAGCAGTCCATCAAAACTTAGTTGGCTTTTTCAGTAATATATATGTAGAGGACGAGTTATATAAGAGAATGATTTCATAAAACAATGATACTAAGAATACAGTCCAAGAAATTCTCCTATCTCACACAGGTGTTTGGTGTTGGCCAATTCTGGACAGAGTCAATCTTCAATGGATATGTGGACACTCCTTCTCTGCTCACTATATGTCTAATAAAACTCATATGTTGATAGAAAAACTTGCATTTTTAGGATTTAGCTTAAGATTATCTTTTCTCAACCAATTTAGAACATTCCTTAGCTTTTCTTAAGCATTATAAAAGGTCTTTGCATGTGTGATTTATGACATCCATGTAGATAAACACAATGTTCTACATAATTCAGACACAGTGCACTCCATTTATCTATGAAATGTAGCAGGATCATTACATAACCCAAAAGGTAACGTGACAAATTATCACAATCCATTTCCTGTGGTAAAGACTCTTTTCTTTACGTGCTTTGTCGACTTCCTCTTGCCAATATCCACCTATAAAATTGAAAACCATTACAATCCTGATGGAGTATCCAAGGTAGAGTCAATCTCTGACAGTGAGTAAGCATCCTTCTTTGTAACTTCATTTCCCTTCTGGTAGTCCACACAGAACCTTGTGGATTTGTCATTCTTCACAAGTACAAAAAATTTATACACATAGAATAATACTCAGTTCTATCTCACCCTGTTCTTGCATGGCTTCTATATCTTTGAAAGGCTGTCTGTTTTGCAACTGGTAGTCATTTGGCTAACTGAAGTATTGGAGTTGCATCTCCAGTATAAATTTTATGAGATATTCTACTTGAGGTCCACTGGAGAAAGTATCCTGATATTCTGTGAGCAAGTTATGTAACTGCTGGCACTTACCTGTTGTAAGAAATCCACAGCTCTGGTCATACCTCTTGTAAGTAAAGTGGTAAGCTATCCTTATATAAGGGTTTAGCATCAGACTTCCTACACTTTTCCTCATAGGTGACTACTTCTGATATACTTTGAAGTGGAAGTACTACCTGTACAACCTCATATCTTGCAATATCCCATTCAGACTTGACTCAAATTTCATAGTTTGTTGTATTCTTGGCCCTAAAAATGACATAATTATTCTTCAGGTCCACAAGTATTCTACCAACCATTAGTCCATCAAAATACACTGGAGTATTTGTTTCTAGTACAGCCATGTCACTAGATTTAAATTTATTTTTTAACAAGTCTTGGTATGAGTCTTTCACTTCTAGGTGGTACAATGACTGCTTTCCTGGTTGTCACAGGAAATTCAATATCTGGTGCAGAAATTGCCATGTAATGCACAGGGGTTCCCTGGTCATAGACTGTGAAACTATCTGAAGCTCTAACCTTGCATCCATGTTTCCAGATGAAGTCAGTTCCAAATATGCACTTTTCCTCAATGTTAATTATCCATACATCATAAGCAATACAAAAGTTTTCTACAGCAAGTGTAGCTTCTAATTTTCTTATTACTGGAACCTTATGTCCACTTGCTGTTCACACAATTCCCTCTTCTTTCTTAATATCTAGAGGCAATTTCCAAACTTTCATTACCAAATTGGGTTGAAGCATTGTATTTGTAGAACTAGCATCAATAAACATTCTGCAAGGCTTCCCATAAAAAAAACCCATAATTTTCTTTAAATATGAACTTCTTATTTCACTTGGGGCATCTGAAGTTTGTCCTTTAAGTCCAACTAGTTCCTGTTCCCCCATATCTAGTTAGCCTTGGTTGTTCCCCAAACCTGGTTGGGCTCAAAAACTGCTGCTTGTTGTAGGTTGCTAAGCCTTATATAATTTTGCATGTGGAGGATATGAAACAAAATATTTTTTTTTAGGTTATATATATATATACATTTGAAATAACCAAAAAATTATAAATTACTATATTCATACCATAGAATTCCACTCTAATTTATCAAGCTTAGTAATTAAGCTGTATTTGGATCTAAAAAAATATGAACTTTTGAGCAAACTAAAGACTCACCTTACTAGCTTGAATATTTGTATTGAACCAATGAGGTGATGTCATAACACATGAAAACAGCTGAGAAAGGAACTAGGGGGACATTCTGAGCTTCTCGATTGGTTATTCCCATGTCATAGACAGAAGTAAGTGTATATAAGAGAGCATTTCCAAAAATGGAAAGAGGTGAGCAGAAAAGAAAGGAAGTTCATATTTTATATTCTAGCTTGTCAATATTAGTAATTTGAATTTGTAAGGAACTATAGAATTTTTATTTTGACATCACAAACATCTAATATGAACCAATGCTGCATTCAACATACCATGTGACACAAAAATCGATGTTTAGGTGTTTTTTTTTTTTTTAAATTAAGAAATTAAATAATGTATAATACTAAAATTTTAATTATAATCTATAGTTTGATACTAAACTTACTGACATAAATTCATAAAAGTGGGTCAATAAAATTTTGAATGCAATTCAATGCGATGACATGGCCTTTGAACTGTGGCCCATATAGAAAGAGTTAAGTCACATTTTAAGAATTTTATAGGTGTTATAAGCCAGTTAAATATACTTTCTGATCCTGATGTCATCGTTAAGACCTACATCGCCCTCTGGATAACGTTTAAATTGCAACATTAAAAATATGGCTTACAACACAAAATTCAACTTGAATTCTTTACAAATGTAAAATATTATCTTCAAAAGAATTTCAATAAAAATTCAATAATTGAATGGAAAAATATATTCTATAAATAACTTTTCTTGCGTCGTATTTGTTATATAAGTTATATTCCATTTATGTTCCAAAGTCTTCTGTTCTTGAGCCTAACAAAGTGCTTTCTTTCTTGCAACAAAGTGACTAAGTGCAGATTAAGGACATAAGCTCAAAGATCACTACTAGTGTCAATCTATTGCTAACTACGTTCTAACTTTGTGGCTGGATGCATTTGTCTTTGGTATAAGCTGTCTTTGTGAGAAATGATAATTTAAATTTGGTCTTTTCTAGATGTAAATCAGTTATTCTTGGGTTAAAATTATTTGCCCATCCAACAAGTTTCTATATTCAGATGTAGAACATCAACACACAATGAGCATAATAAAAATAATCAAATGAAGATCATTCAGGAATTTCCACTTACCAAACACCCAAACAGCCTGTTCATAAATACAGTAGCAGTTGATGCAACATCTGAATGATTGAACAGACAAATCAAAGATCATTTCACTGACCCATACCTTCATTTTCAAATACTATGCAAAAGGCTATGTGAAAAGCTCCATGAGTATTTAATTATTCCAATTAGTGGATCCTAACTTTTATCTAAAAATAAGCAAATGACAGATTTTAGAGGGATGTTTGTGAAATTGTATGATTAGTAATATATATACAAAATAAGCAGAGCTCCTTCTTACAGTTTTAACACACACACATGTATTAAAGATAAATGTCTTTCATATTAAATTTGGCATGAAACCATAAACAAAGCTTTCATGAGACATAAAGAGTGTGACCACAACTTTAACTTAAACCTGGTGCTCTAGATACCATGTGTATCAGTTTTTCCTTCCAGTATTGGAATTATTTTCTCCTGATACAATTAATATTTCCACTCACTCTTATAAATACATTCTCCTTTCCTCAAATCCTTTAATAAATAAATAATTTTAATTACCTATTCATTTCCTTAAAATGTGCTTGGAATCTTCCAGCAAAAATTAAAATAACCACTATTTATCCTCAGAAACAAAGAAATCCACAATTTGTTTATATTTTGTGTAGTAAGGCATGCTCAGGATGTTAGTTAAGCTTATTTAATGATAGGCAAAAGAAACAGCTAAAATAAGTATGCAAAACTGCAAGAAGGTTAGGTGAAAAGCATAAAAAAGTATAAAGACACTTCTGAGCAAGCTTTAGAAAAGCGATAAAAGATAGTGCAGGTTTCTTCTTTTCAGATAATACACACCTGTGGCTGTGAACAAGACACCAGGTGGACATGTGATGGTTCAACAGGTTGAATGCTGTGGGTGTCTACCTGACTTGATGAGTGTTGGTTGGAGAGAAGCGCCTGAGAGTCAGGTTTGTGTACTGTGCACTGATCATCATCCTGTTTGGGTGTATTGAGGGTGCTGCTTTCTTGACTTCCATAACTTGGCTTCTAAGAAAATTTACAAACATTGCTAGTAAAAGACATGTTAAACATTAAAAACAAATTCAAATAAATAAAACATTTGTTTTTGGCATTTAATAACAACATCAAACAAAGTGCAATAACATAATGAAATATGGTCTTCCATTTTTTTCTGTAATTATCAAATTAAGCTGAAAGAGATGGATACATAAAATTTAACAATATTAGTAAAATTGTTAATTTAAAAAGGGGAATAGGGATCATCAAAAAAATACAGTTAAACAAGTTAAATCAAAATCAAAATATTATATTTTCATGCCTATGACTAGAGACTCTAAAAACAGTAAACTGGAAATAGTATCTAAATTACTTTTAATATATTTTCTCAAGCTACAAATCCCTATTCTTATTCCATGTCTACAGTACTTATCAATTTTAGTGAAGTCAAAATAGGGATTTCTAGCCTGAGAAATTAATGTAAATACTATTCCCAGCCTTGTTTGTTTACTTTTTTTTTTAAAGAGTCCCTAGCTGTAGGCTTGAAAATATAATCTTTGCATTTTGATTCAAGTTTTTTCTGTACTTTTTTGATGATCTCTATTCCCCTTTTTTAAATTAACAATTTTTACTCATTTTTTTACTTAAAAATAGCAATGGCTATATGAAATAGTGCTCCATGCTGTGGTAGATTTTAAATTCTAATTTTTAATTATCTTGTCTGTTGGCTTTTTTTAATGCACAGCAATGGGCAACTACATGCCAAGAGTAAAACACTATCCCCACTAAGCATGTATAAAATTTTACCAGTAGAAAAGCAGCCTTTTCAAATAAAACAAATATGCCTAAAACATCACTTTATATAAAGCTTCGTGTCTTCTAAGATAATTATTTACTGGGCAAGGTGGCTTTGTGCTTGAGGTTTCCCGTAAACATGCGTCAAGTACAAAATCAGCCGCATATTAATGTTTGGGGGTCTTAACTATTGAAATGGAAGGTTTTGAGTGTTATTTCAAGAATGAGTCTACTTTTAAGGTGATTTTTGCCCAACTATTTTATTAGAGTTTTGAGGAAATTTCTGTGTGATCCCTATTATGAACCACAATTATGGTTCATAATTATTTCAAAATATGAAAATAACGAATTATATGGCCTGCTTAATTTAACAAAATCTGATGAAAAGCTTACAAAATACCAACAATCCACCTCTCGTTGTTTGCAAAAACATTAATTTTTTACCTCAATAAACATATAAAAAATTTAATTATTTTAAATCTACCAACAGCAATGCTTACTTTGTCTTATCAACAACCTGCAGTATCTTACTTCCCAAATTAATTAAATATTTTTACATAATCATACTAGGTTTAATTGTATATATTCCTACACTTAAAACAGCAAATAACACTATGCTTCTTCATCATGCATTTCCTTAGTTTTATACATTTACATCATCCTTTATTGTTGGTAATACACAAACTGTGATCAAAACGTTGTCACAGGAAAACATTAAATATTTTAACTGCTCTTTTGTCCGAAATAAAACTATTTATTATAAGAAATGGTAAAACTGGTACTAGTATATAATAATTCTTTTTTAAAAAAATACTACTCATTTGATTTCTTATAAGAAGTAAAGATATGTATAAATATTTAGTCTTAACATATATATATTTAATTTAACCATTCATTTTACATAAATGTACTAACATAATATGAAATGTTCTTTTAAATTATCAACAAGTTTATCTTGACAGGATTTTAACTCTACAGTTTATTTTTGTGTATTGAACATTCATGTTTTTATTAATTACAATTCATGGTATTCTCTCCCATAGTATTCATGAATAATAGGATTCCCTAACCTCAGACATTTTCTGTACCTTTGTTTGATTAAAATCTACTATCTTTTTATTTTCTTGCCGATACTGGAGAGTAGGACTAGGTTTCATTGCTGTAGGAGTAAGATCTGCTACATGTACTATCGGTACTTGATCTGGATGTTCTTTCACTTGCATGATAATGTCACGTAGCTGCTCTATAAACATGACTGCATAATTATCAGCAAGAAGATCAGTCATAACCTAAAAGAAAAACAGACAGTAGAATGAAGTTTAATAAGAATAGTATAAGTAAACACATGAAACACAACTGTTAACACTCTAACAAAACAGTATGAAAATTCTGTTGACATACTAGTGTCTTGATTTTTAAAAAGTAAAACCATGACTGCATAATTATCAGCAAGATCAGTCATAACCTAAAAGAAAAACAGACAATAGAATGAAGTTTAATAAGATTAGTATAAGTAGACACATCAAACACAACTGTTAACAAACAAAACAGTATGAAAATTCTGTTGACATACTAGTGTCTTGATTTTTAAAAAGTAAAAAACAACAACACCATCATATTTGAACATTTGTCCAGATATATGTGTGCTATGCAGGTATATGATGTGTTTTTCAGCATTGTATGGTGATACAAGATTTCTTATATTTTAGTGTTTTTTTTCATTACATAGTTTCTACACTGTCATGACAGCAATACGTGGTCTAGAAAGTCGTTAACATTACCTTGTTCTAGTTGCTTTGTTTCTTTATTCTCTTTAGCAGATGACATCTCCTTTGCTTGCAAGGATATTTCAGTATAGTATAGAGCATCCAAGTTGAACAGGTTTGCACTTCAATATCCTATGTTGGCTTATTATGATGTCAATTAAAGGTAATAACTGATCAATGCTGTCAGAAAACAAAGGTCACAAGATGACACTGTCCACTGGACAAAGGAACTGGGTTTAGTTCATAATTTTGAGCATGCTGTTTTCTACTAGATGATCTATGAGGAGGACCTGCTTTTTGAAGATTGGTGTGTAGAGTTCAACAGCAATTAATCTAAAGAGAAAGAAGGCTATAGGGTTGGACACAATCTAGTGGAATAGGACTGTCCATATACCTGCACAGTGGACTAAGCCCAATTGTTGGGAGCTGCCAAACAGCCACCTCTGCAGTATTGGAATACGAGTCAACCACACTGGCCTTTCAGTAAGTGGGCAGGGCTATGCAGGCCCTCCCATGGAATGCATGCCACCACAATTTCAAGTAATGGGACATCTCCCACAGTCACAGCCAACATCTCCATCTTCATATTGTTGAAGATGGGAAAAGCAAAATGTTTGCTTTGCTTATGGATGTGTGAGGCACTGGCAGAGGAACTGCCCACATTTTTAAGCACTGCAAGGATAGCAGAGTGATATCTGTACCAGTTAACCACTCAGCAGGTTCCTGTCAATCCACAACATCAGTACATTGCCAAGTAGCAAAGTTGACAAGTGTGTTGATGCCAACCATCAAATTAATAGGTCCAAGATGACAAACAATGAGTGGTTGATGATGTGGCCAATATTTCTGAAAACTAACAGAGCCCAAGTTGGACTTGGTCACCAGTTTGAGAGAGCATAGCATTTGACTGATACCAAAGAACTGGGTGGGGCTTGCTATGTATCTATAAAGGTGCAAGGGCAACACATTAATTACTTGTAGACACTGGAGCAGTGAGAACCTGGGTAGACACTGTGATCTTCTAAGATCTCAAAGTGAAGCCACCATGATATCCAGTGAATACTGACTTCATTCTGGCAAATGGTGATAGACTGAACATTAAAGAAGAGAGAAAAGTCTACTCAGTCTAGTGGATGTTACCAACAGAATGAAAGTAATTGTTTCTAATCTTGGGTTTGGACTCGACATTCTCAAGGTAGACGAGTTGCAGAGTTTATCAGTCAGTTTTGCCTATGCAACAGTTAAGCTGACGTTTCAATGAAAAGTCTTCCATTGCTGTTCAGTTCGAGTCCAGAGAAGTGGACTGCACAAGTGTATACAGTACCTCCATGTAAACAAATGGTGTCCATAGTTTAAAACACATAAAATCTAATGTTTTAGTGCCAGGTAACACAGTTACAGAAGTTGCACAAGAAATAAACTGTTTTCTGTCCTAAAAGCAGACAGATTAGATTGGGCAGTGGTCCACTTGACAAGGGAGAAAGCCCCAATGTTGCTTTGCAACTATGGACAATTGGCTGTCCCGCTGGACTCTGGAACAGTCATAGGTACAATGAGAGAAGTGAAAGTGACTGATGCCAGCAGTAATACTAGGGATGCATCCATTAAATTATTACTAAAAGCAAACATGAGGCTACCAACACCCTCATGATCTAACAAAATGAAAGTAACTTGGTGACTTGTTGGGTGAATATATCAATGTATTCGTAGGGCCAGATGGATGACTGAGTTGAATAATGGTGATAGTAACTCGGCACCATATAGACACAGGTGATGCATTTCTTATAAAACAACTACTACACCAACTACCTTGGAGCACTATGGAGGTCACAAGTGCTGAAATACAGTGTAGACATCAGGAGGAAATTATACATCTTTCAAAAATACTTGATCATCACCACTGGTAATTGCAGGAGGAAGGAAAGCATGCCAAGAGTCTGCATAGACTTCTGATGGGTAAACACGATAACTCACATTGACACCTCCCAATTACCACAAACAGATGATTTTCTGGATGTGTCAAAAGGATTCCATTGGTTTAACACCTTGGATCTGGCAACTACACTGGCAAAATGAGCTGGACAAAAGCAGAGCTAAGTCTGCTGTTAACATTAGAAATGGCTTATATGAATTCTCTATCATGCCTTTCAGTCTGTGTAATGCACCAGCCACTTTCGAAAGTAGACAAGGAGCACAATGGGAGAGATGCCTGGTCTGGATCAATGATGTTTTGGTGTTTGGCTGACCTTTCAAGGCAGTATCTGAAAACCTGAGGATTGTATTCCAGCACATAAGAAAGGCAGACCTGAAAATTGAAGCCTGGTAAGTGTTTGACTAGAATAGAGTTTCCACAGACCCAGCTAAAACAGTTGCAATGACAAACTGGCCTTGACCTGTGACAAATGAAGAGGTCAACAGCTTTCTTGCTTTTGTGTTGTACTACTGATTATTTGTGGCCAACTTCTCAATGATTGCAGCACCATTAACAGTTTGCATGAAAGTGGAAGCACACTTTGATTGGAGTGTAGGATGTGAACAAGCATTCCAATCCATAAAGCATATCTTGGAGGATACTCCAAAGACTGTGTGTTTCTCCTGGATACTGATACTAGTGACCAACTGAGTCAAAGCAATGTTATTACAGTTGCAGGATGGAGTGGAATGAATAAATGTGTATGATAGTCATACATTCATGGCTTCCAAATGCAGACAGTGCAAGACAAAGGAAAGAGCTCCTTGCTGAAAATGTCTTTGTAAAGCATATTTGCTATTAGTTGTATAAAGGAGGTTCTCAATCTGGTTGGAACACGATAAGTAGGTAATAAACTTTAAAAATCCAGAGGGGATGATAGTACATTGGGTGATAATGCTGCACAAGTATGACTTTGTCATTGTTCATCAACAAGGCCAGCAACACAGAAACATGACGGAACTATATTTCTGCATGATGAGATTTTGCCCAATTTTGAAATGTATTGATCCTTGATGCTGTGTAAGAATTAAAATGATGACTGTTTGGCCATAGCAACAACTGACCATAAAGTAAAAGACTCCAACAAAAGATGGATGCTGAAGTTAAGGCTTCAGGAGCTCTTGGAATAGCAGCCAAAGGACCCTAATCACCATGGGCATTTTTTACAGTCCAACAAGCACAAGCTCATTCAGCATTTGTGGAGGAGTGAAGCACAGATACACATAACCTGTTGAATATTTATAGACAATTACAAGTGAGAAATGTGTGCTGTACCATTGTCATCAGCCTAAGAGGTGTAGTGCTTTGGCAGTGCTGCAACTAGTGGTTCTCAGAGTTCTGTGGCAAGAGACACTCTTGACTTTACACAAAACCAAGACCATAAGGCACCAAGGTGTAACATAAACTTGTGTTAACACCTGATGACAGTTCTTCTGGTCATACGTGGGGCAAGATGTTTGGTGCTGGTGGCAATACTGTATGATGTGTGCCACTCAGAGAAAGAAATTGACTGAGACAGGGTAAACTCCAACAGAGAATTGTTAGGTCTCCTCTACAGAAGATAATCCTATATATCACTGGTATATATCGCTTTAGGAGTGCCTAGAGACTCTTATTACATACTTGTGGTCATCAACTAGTTCATGAAGTGGGCCTAAGTGTATTCAGTGACTGATACACTAGCACAGATTGTTATGGGTGCATTAGCAGAAAACTGGATAGCCTGATTTCAAACACCAGAGGAAATTTACAACTATCAGAGCACTAACTTTAACAGCCAACTGTTCACTGAATTGTGTAATGCATTAGGTGTGCTGAAAATCCATATTTCACTGTATCACCATTAGCCTTCAGTTCAATGATCTTACAGAATGGATTGCACAAATCACAAAACAATGCTTGCAAAGGTTGTTAAACCTGACAGAACCAACTGGGATGATCAAGTAGGAAAGGTAGCACAGTGCCAAAAGAAGTGCTACAATTAAACAATGAAAGAAGGAATGTTTCAATGCAGTAATTGGGTATGGTTGTAGTTCGTGCCACTGGAACAGAAGCAAATTGGATCCAGCTGTATTGATCAGTACTACTACTCCAATAAGTTGGTCCTCTATCGTATGAAATAAAGCAGATGAAAAACATGCAAAAGCTGCATTCATACGTCACAGAGAGGCCATTGGTGTATTGGCTTGACCAGGAGTCTGAAAAGGAAACTGAGAAGGATACCATTTCGAGTCATTGTAGCCTACCTGAAAGTGAAAAGGAAAAGCAGATACCTATCTGACAGTCTTCTATGAGTACAATGCGTTTCTGGAAGTAGTAGGTATTTCCAAGTTACTAAATGATTATTGATAGTTAGAATGATCATATGATTTAAAAGGCATTTAACCCCTTACTTTCTGAGGTACGGAGTGAATTTTCTGATGTAAAACATCATCTGATTTTGAGAAAATCAGTCAAAGAACTTGGCTGAGTGGTGAGAATTCTGTTGTATGTCACCCAGTGCTCAATGTATTTTTACACTGATATTCATAGAATATATGCCAGACCTATG